TCAGACTCCCCTGTCCAACCTCCCTTCCCCTATCCAGCCCCTTCCTTGCTCCCAATGGCTGGCCATAGCATCCCCAGACTGCCCCAAACTATCATTCTTTCTCTAAAATTCTAAGAGAAATGGCAGTGATCATCAGGGGCTCTGGAGTTAAACCATGATGAGAACAAAAGTCACCGACTGTGAGACCAAGTTCCTGAAAAGAGTAACTGACTGTGAAGGGAAAAGGCTGATCAGCAGAGGAGGGAGAATGCAGGGAGATGCAGAAACAGCAACATTGTGGGACAGACACCCAAAGAGCACCCCCAGGGGGCAACTGCAACCTAGAGAGACATCAGTGGACATCTCACCTCTGATCTAGACATACAAGGCTGCAGGGCCACTGCTGCACTCATCCAGTGACATGGAATGGGGCCTGTGAGTCTGTTTCCTCCCTGTGGATGGTCCATGAGAGTTCCTATTACATTCATTCACAACTGCCCACTGTCCGCTCAGATGGGCTCAGCTTCCTGCACCTGCAGACTTCACTGACAAAGGAGACTTTACCACCAGGGCTAGTGGGCCTGCGGGAGTTTTTCTGAGTCAGTTATTTCCTCATCCCTACTGCCCAGCTCATCCCCCAAGAGTTAGTAGATCCAAACAAAGCCATCAGCATTGCTACCTCAACTGTCCAGCACAAAAGGCTGACACGCCTCCTTTCACGATGGAACCTCCCCAAACTAGCCTCACACAGCTCCTCTCCCTGTCAAAACCTCCATCTCCCATCTCTCGTTGCCAATGACATGAAGCACTCAGCACTTACATAACTGCCTTTCCATAAAAGGACTAGGTTCCATTCAATATATTTCTGAAAGATGTTTGAGTGTTTTAAGTCTTTAACAGGAATTAGCAAAATCAGAGAATGGTGTCAGCCCTCAGAAAGCTGATGATCCTGTGGACTAGGAGAAAGTGTTCAAAGAACACAGGGGAGTGTAACTTCAACTGGAGGAAGCTGAAAAAGTCAAACTGAAAGGTGGGTTTCCGGGGAAGATGGGGAGAGGGTTCTGGGAGCTTCTGGGCAGGGCTTAAAGAGTGGGGAGCATATGGTATCCATGTAGCTGACACCCTGGAAATGGAAGAGGACGTAGGAAAGACACGTGTTGCTCAGAGCAGGAATCATGAAAGAGCTGGGGGTTGGCAACGCAGGCAATGGGGCCAGGAAGGCTCCTGGGCAGGGAGTCACACAATCAATGTCAGAGTTCATCATTTGTGCTTTATATGCTTGTAAAGTTACCAGTCCTGAGACGGCCAGTGCAACACGCTGAATGTAGCTTAGGAAAACAATAGTTCTCTAGACATCAGTTTGGATAAACAACTGCATAAAATAGAATGGATTCTTGGTCCTGGCTCCATTGCTTGAGCGTAAGAGCTTTTTTAGCAAGTTCAGTCAGTCCTTCACCTCTCCTCACAACAGAACTGTCATTCTTGGCCCATGCTGGGTGTTCGGTATCACTTGATCTAATGATCCTGGAAATTCGAAGCATAGCCTCTTCAGCAAGTTAGGAAATACATAACCTGAATGTTTGGAAGTCTGGGTAAGGCTCCTGCCTGTATTCTTCTTCTTCTTCTTCTTCTTCTTCTTCTTCTTCTTCTTCTTCTTCTTCTTCTTCTTCTTCTTCTTCTTCTTCTTCTTCTCCCCCTCCTCCTCCTCCTCCTCCTCCTCCTCCTCCTCCTCCTCCTCCTCCTTTTTTTTTTAATTTTACTAAATATAACCAGCCCTTCATAAACTCTGTTCTAAGATGATGTTAAAAATCAGGGGGAAGAACTTAATGCTGACCATTCTCACTGCACTCCAGATTATGGGCAATCCCAACTTCATTTATGTACCCCTGAGCACCATACGCAGAGAAGCAGAGTGATGTACCTGTTTCTAACTTAGAGGTGACAGGAAGTATTCTTTACTCAGCTCCAGTTAGGAAAGGGGCGTAGCTGGGCTCTGAAAACAGTTTCACATCCATTCGAGCTGTTAGGAGGGCAGAGGACAAGGAAGTGAGAAAGGATGGTCCAGCACTGAGCAACTGTGAAAGGCACGCACAGGACTGAGTACCCCTTCCAGACAGGCCAGGCCTCACTGCCCCATACTGCTGCAGAGTGGCAGCTAGCAGCCGGCCTGGCAGCTCCTCTCCACTGCTTCCAGTGGCCAGTGCCAAGTCACCGACATTCTCTGGGTTTCACGTTCTTTGGCTATAAAATATCAACATTGCCAGCATGCCTTCATCACCATCTTGCCAGAATAAAACAAACTGATTCTGTCCAGCCCCAGGGTCTTCCACATGACTATGACGGCCATCTTCCACGGAAGTCAGTGGGGTGCTAAGGATGGCTGCAGTGTGGGGACCCACTAGAGTGGACCTCAACCCACCAGAGAAACTACAGGAAGGAGAAGCCCTTGTGACACTTCCCAGTCACCTTAATGGCTTGGAGTTACACAGGGATATTCTGGACCTCACCTTCTCCCCACAGATCCAGCAGGGTCCTATGGGACAGGCCAGGCTGCAAAGCCACCACTGTACTCATCCAGTGACTCAAGGCTGGTATCTGGCCCGCTATCATTTATTTACCCAGACTCAGAATTTATGGATGCCAAAGTATTATTGGTTTAATTTTCCTTTTCCTTGTTTTTAATTTTTAAGCTGTTAGCTATTAGCACCTATTTATTTTCTCCCAAAGCACATTTTTTTCTGATGAGAAAAAATAATCCTCCTTCTGCCCACCTTCCTGTTCACCTCCTGTTTTCAGTTCTCTATTGACTACTTAAAAACAAGCCAACAAACAAAATACATCATTTCATTACAACCCAACACAGCTAGTCTCTGAGGCAGTAGGCACAGGCACAGATATCTGTAAGCATATATTATGCATTTTCTCTATCTCTCTCTTTTAAATTTATCTTTATTGTTGAAAGTATTACAGATGTCCCTTTTGCTTTTTTTTTTCCATTGACCCCTTCTACCCTACACCTGCTCCTCCTAGGCCTTCACCACACTATTGTCTGTATCCATGGACTATGTATATATATGCATATGAGTTCCCCAGTTAATCTCTCCCTCTGCATTTTCTCTTTCAACCCTATCAGGCAACCTTCAATCCCAGAGCTAGTATACAACTCCCAAGTTAATCAGTCAGCCTCAGAATAGGGGGAAGAGGCCAGACCTGTCAAGATCTCTGTCATCCGTATGAAGACATCCCAGAGTAACATGAGCCACTCATCTGGGCACTTCACTGATGTCAGAAAGAAAGACTTCTGGCAGACAAAGTGATACCCAGACACCTAGAGATCCCAGGAGCCTGCTATCACAAAGGGGCTAGAAAGTCCTGAGCAAACTATGGAGAAGGTTGGGAGTACACTGCCCACAAGAACTCTAAGGGGGATTCTATCACCTCCCACTCAGGGAACCCAATTCTCACCTCTGATCTAGACCTTTAAGACTGGGGGAGATTGCACACAGCCTATATGGTGCATGCATTCCACAGCCATGCATTCCAGGGATTCCACAGCCACTGTCAGTACCACGTTAGAAACTAAGCTTTCTGCTTCTCAACAGTTGTTGCAATGGTGGGAAGAATGAATTGAATCACGAGCCTACAATAAATGCCTCATATGCCTAACACTCTTTGGACCCTGAAATATAAGGCAGAACATACAGATAAGCAAATCTGTGTTGTAGTAACTAAGCTGGCTTAATTCTCAGCTAACACATCCATAAGCACCCTCTTCCAAAGTTCAGGGAAATGGCTCAAAAGAGACTTAAGCTCAAGAGAGCAATGGGCACAAGTGTGTTTTGTGAAGGGCAAGGTTATATGAGAGTAGTGTCAAGTTCTTTTCCATTCTAGGTTCCCCCACCCCTTGACCTGGTTCCAACAATGATAATTCTTCTCCTCAACCAGAGAAATGGTCTGACTTGTCTACACAAACCTATTTTTACTAACTGGGCATGAAGAGGGGTGATCACCTTCACTTTTACTTAATGACCAAGGTGTCAGGTGCTCTTTGTAAGAACAAAATTCCTCCCACTTTTTGCCTGAAAGCTGTCAACAAACAAAAAAGATCCTTTCTGTAAAAAGGTGGCTTCTAACCATTAAAGGCTAGTTCAGCCCCTTTAGGCTTATTCACTCCCCTTTCTGTGTGCTTGTTTCCCTTAAAGATAGGTCCATTTCCTGCCAGTTACATACAATTTCATAAGATGCTCAATACAAGCAGAGCCCTCCTTCCCTGGTCTGAGCCTGGTCTCAACACAGTGTTAAAGACAAACAGTTTTATGAAGTGATGACAAAGGTTTCCTCTAGGTCAAACGGCTTGGATGAGATTGCAGGGTTCCTCTCCCATGCTGGCTCTGTGGCAAGCTGCCGAAATTCCCTCTTTTTTAACCCTCCTACTCCCCAGCCAACCTGGCCTTTTCTGTTGGTGTAAGCAAACACCCATAGTTGCAGCTATATTCAGATGGGACCCACCTGGGACCAGTATGTGTGCAAGGAAAGCATGGGTCGGAGCCAGTGGGATTATATGGATACATAAGGAGAAAGGTGTTCTTCACAAACGGAAAGGAACACAAACCTCTTTCAACTCTCTATACCAAATACTGAAACATATTAGTAAGAAAGCCTAGGAATGTGTGCCTGATATAAACTAGCTTTTACAGTTTTTAAATGAATGCTAGCTGAGGCAATATCGAGAAATTACAAGAGAAGAGAAGCCGAGTACTGAAATGCAGTATTTAGCAGGACATACACTGCCTGTTGAAGGCCTACTATGGCCTGGCCCTGTGCTCAGTGCTATTGAAACATCCCAGTACCTCAACGGACAGCAGCGTTCTTGTCCCTCAGCCCCCCCCCCCCCCCCACACACACACACACACGCACCACCTCAGCCAATTATAAGGAGTGGAGGATTTTTTTTTTTTTTTTTTTTTTACATACCTATTGCCAAATCCCAAGTCAGAAGAACATGGTGGGTGCGCACTTACCCCTCCTCAGACATCCTGGCAGCAGAGGCGCTCTGGGTCTCTCCTCGGGCTCTCAGTGCATGGTGCTCACTTTCAGAATCACTCACATGTCTTGTCCCCAGGGATGCCTTATTTTGTAGGAAGGCAGCAGGGCCATCCTCACATCCGTTCACCAAGCCATGGCCCACTCTCTCTCTTGCCCTTGCTGGCTGGCGACCCTCATGTGGTGCCGGAAGATCTCTTGACGGCTTGTATCCATGAGAAATCAGGAGGTCTTCTACACTGTACATAATGCACTGGCCTCATCCAAGCTCAGCGACTGGAATGGTCATCATGGCAGAACCCACACTGAGGGGACAACAGAAAGTGTTCATGAGGACACATTAATTCTCCCTGCAGCCACGTCTGATGCCACCTCCTCCTACACCCTGAGCTGGACCCTGGTTATGAACACAGTGCAGTTCCTGCACAGAAGGTGTAGGGATGGGGATTGCTGTCTGAAATGATACTCTGTCTTATTCAAGTGGAGAGCGTGGATGAACAGGGGCTCTGTAGGGTGTAGTGCTTATTCTGAGAACCCATCAGATGACTGCCTCTTGTAGAGGAGTCCAGAATGGTGTTTGAGCAATGAAATGATAAACAATGTCCACCATCCCTTGCCCCAGTCATCTGAAAACAAGCATAAGGAGAGAGGACAAAATAAATACAGACTTAGAAGCTGCAATTACTACTTGGTATTTCTAAAAAGAGAAACTACTAGTGTCCAGCTCAGTCTTATTATACTTCCCTGCTTTCATTCTGTAGACATATCTTTCACTTTAAAAGGGCAGAACGGGACCTTTAATCAACATGGAGCCATGACATACTCAAGCATGATACACTGAGCAAGGGCAGCTGCCCGGGGGAGGTCAACCAGCTGCTGAAAACAGAGCTTAAGTTTTGAGGCTCACAATAAGAAAACATGTGACACCCTTATCAAGCATACACACCCAACCCACTATACCATCCAAAACTTCTCCTTTCCACATTAAACTTTTAAGAATCAAATTTATCCCCAATAAATCATGGAGAAACATTCTCTGGGCCAGTGGTGTCTACATCTGAGTCCTGCTATGGTACATGAATTCATGGCAGCTACTTCCCAGGAATAAACTGTCCTCAGGCCACAGTACCCCCCATAAAACAATAAATAAATATATTTAATAACAATAAATAAATATATATAAACCTGCATAAAAGCATGTGTTTTTAAAAGCAGGTGGGGTTGCTGTGTTTCTTTTTATACAAGAGAATCTTCTTTCCTAAGTCTTCTTGTTGTTAATAGCGTGAAAGGTAGTTTGGTCAGATGAATCTGAATCTGGCTCCCCAGACGTTGTGATGCTGGCCTGGGTGAGAAGCACACCAAAGCCAGACCTGTAAGAGTTGGCCAGCTCCAGTCCCACTTCACTGTTGTACGGAAATAGCGCTGCAGCGGCCCCTGGAACAATGGCCAGGAAATGCCTGCTGCCCGTGTGCAGGTGAAAGGAGACACGTGTGCTTCCTGTCGGTGGGAATTCTTAGTGAGGCATATGATTCTTCTGACTATGCATGTCCTTCCTCCTCACCACATGCTGGATTCCAGCAGCAGCAAAGGCTCGGTTATCAGCATGGAGCATATGAGACTTTGGAAGGCTATACTTTTCTATGAGGTTCCTATATCTTATGTGAGGTTGACAAGCTCTGGCAGTTGCTGCACTAGTAGAAAAATCTCCATAGCAATTCTGCCATCCCTGACACTACTGCTGCATGTACTTTCGGGAGTTGTACAACTTGGGTCATTCACTTAGACAGAAATGGAAGGACTGGAGAGACAAGCACTTGCCCTTTCATTCAATTGAATAAGTCACTGGACTACAGGCTGCAAAGGAAAGAGATTCCATTACAGACAGGACTATGGGGACATAGAAGCAAGGTTAGGAAGGTAGGGTCTTTGTTTTGTTTGATGCTACAACCTCAGAATCTTGCACATAATATGCTCTCAATAAATAATTGTTGAGTGGATTCACAAATGAGAGAAAGGGACATTTAAGGTAGGCTTTGGAGAATGATTAGGAGTTCACTAGATTAACTGCAGGTGTATGTGTATGAGAAGGTGAATTGACATTTAAACTAGATTTGGGATACAATAATTTCAGTAATAAATAATTAACATAACAGAATCCCAGTAGCCGAGACCAGGGTCCCCAGACTCATTGGCTCAATGTCATGATCAAATCGGCACCACAGTTAAAAGTTAGAGTTTTCTAGTAGGTCTTGTGACACTCACCGTTTCTCTCTCTTGCTATATCAGGCTCTTTAAAAGCAAAGTACATTGCACTTCAACTAGCCATTACATAGATTGAGGGACATTCCAGTGTCCATCAGAGTTGGTTGTTACAGTCCATTGTTAGAGTGGTAAGAAGTAAGTCTCACAAACATGTATGTCACTTATTTTCCTTCTGGGGTTAGGTAAGTTGGGCCACTGTGGCTATGTCTGTATGACAATTATACTTAGCAAACTCTTAAATGGCAAGACTACCCAGGTCAAGCCATAAACATCTTTTAAAGATTCAAACCCCTAAGAGCCATAACTTGACCAATAGATCTGATAACAAAAGCATATTGATTACTGGAAAGTCCTAACTTTTCATTTCACAGAGGCCAGAGCTCGTGGGGAGCAGGAGTACAAAGTGTGCCAGCTTCAGCATGCAGGCTTGGAGCCCCCGGGAGAGGAAAAGAGTGGAGGGGATGACCCATAGGTTTCATAACCCAAATAAGTGTTCCCAGTCACCATCCAACCCTTTGCCTCACATTCTTCACTTTCTCAATCCCAAATCAGAGGCTGGGCTTCTATCTCATCTTCATACCAACACTAAACAGCAGACACTATTCCTCTACCCTCTGTCATATTTAGCTTACTTTCTTCAGCATCCTTATCTACTTAAGATGAAATGAGCCACCTCACTAACATGTCAATTATAGCAACCACCTGGAGGGGACATTAGGGAGCTAAGGAGCAACCAGGTATCCAATGAGTTGCTGGAATAAAAGATGGCCCCTTCTAAAGTTTCTTTCCAATCCTGAAATACCAGGACCCTACATTAACAGCATTTAATTTGATCACCCATTCACCACCTCAAAGGGTTGCTGGAAAGACACACTTTTTAGTGTGATAAATGTCAGTTATTATAACAGCAGATTTCACAACTTGGCAGGTATATGTGCAGCTCAAACAGTACTGTTTTAGGTGTGATCCTTTTGATGCTAGCATCAGCTATGATCCTTAGCAATCAAGTCATTATCCATAACGAAGCTCAGTTTTCTGGTCTGCAAAATGGTGGTGCCACTATCTTCCTGTATCACCAAATTGTTTTGGGGGACAAATAAGAATATGTAAAAGTGGATATCAGCACTCAAATATAAGATTGTGAGTTTATTATGTTACAATAGCTCTAGTTTGTCTCTCAAGGATTACTTGCCTTATGGAAATCTTATACATTAGTTATTAGTTTTAATCATGTAGTTTAGACCATCTCCTAATTCTTTTAGTACCCTTTGCAATGCCACTCTTGATTTGCAAAGTCATGACTCCTCTCTAGCACCCATCTCTTGCTTTTTTATGAACAGGCTTCAATTTCCATCCAAGGCACTTAAAACAGTAAAAGCTATTCAATATAGTCCAAAACATTAGCACATAATTCCTGAGTGCCTACAATGCACCAAGCACTAAAATAATCAATAAGACATGATTTTTATCCTTGAGAATCTTATTGTTCTGCTGTGGAGACCGTTGGAAAATTGGCAAACAAAACATGGCATATGCATGTATTAGTGGCAGGAGCTAGCCACCTCTTCAGTGTCATAGCACTGTGACAGAGATAAGAAAAGGATGATATAGAAAGGACCCTTACCCTGTCTCAAGGGATCAGGAAGGCTTCTGGAGATTACTTCTAGGCCAAAAAAAAAGCAAAAACAAAAACCCACCTCAGGGTAGATCTGCACAATAAGATCATCTGTAAGGATAATTTTCCAGCCACTTCATTTAAGACATTTTTCCTTTGCTATTTTTTTGTTGTTGCCTTGTACCAAATACTCTAGTAAAAGTGTTAGGGCAGTGAATGCACCTCATTACAGTCTCAGGAAAGGAAGGGACTTCTAGCCTTGGCGGGGCCCAAACACAATGACAAGAGACCATGAGCACACTGTAAATGTCACGTTCATGCTGTGAATACCTAGAGACATTTAATGCAGGAGAAATATTTACCACAAGAACAAGTATAAAGGCACTGCTGCCTCTCAAAGTGGTGAGTTCCCAGCTGGAAAGTTCTTTTTTTTCTTTTCTTTTCTTTTTTTAAAAATATATTTTTATTGATTTTTTACAGAGAGGAAGGGAGAGAGATAGAGAGCTAGAAATGTCGATGAGAGAGTAACATCGACCAGCTGCCTCTTGCAAACCCCCTACTGGGAATGTGCCCACAACCAATGTACATGCCCTTGACCGGAATCGAACCCAGGACCTTTCAGTCCGCAGGCCAACACTCTACCACTGAGCCAAACTGGTTTCAGCCCAGCTGGAAAGTTCTTAAACAGAGGTGAAGGGAATGGATTTAGAACCTGATTTCTTTCAACAGTCACCCATTGAAAGCATGTAGATGCAGATCAATTGAAACATTAAAGAAGTATGCACCCTCACATCATGTTCTATAATGCTTTCTATTCTATTACATTTTTTAAAATTATGGTCACTACCCATGAGATTTCATGCTGCTCTAGTCTGTCATAACCTACAGTGTGAAAAACACTATTATGAAAATCATTCCGGTTGGGGGCTAGACTAGATGACCTCTGAAATTTCAGCAAGTTCAAAGACCTTATCAACCTATGAGAAATTCCTTGATCTAATAAATTTCTTGCTCTGTTCTCAACAGCAAATATAGCTGTTCTATCATATCAGAAATGTTCTTCCCAAGAAAAAGCATAGCTACTAAGTGAAACTACTTTCCTATCCTTAAGAACAGAAAAAGAAAAGAAATGAATCTCCCGAAGGGAAAGTACTGCCTCTGCTGACTCTACCTATGACCTACCAGCAGCTTGACACCTGAGGCCTGGGAACACCCATCACTGGCAGACAGAGCAACCAGCACTCCAGAAGCAGAGGGGAGTTACAGGTCCTTGGAGACAAATGGATATGCAATGCTGCCACCTTTATTCTTCTTTCGTTGGCTTAAGACAAGACACAGCTTTTTTTTTAAATTTTACTTTTGTTCTTTTC